CAATATAAATGGCAGATAAAGGAGAACTGCCCCAAACTCTCTTTGCTCAGTCATAATGCCCCTAGGGAGGCAGCCCCTAATGCCCCTAGGGAGGCAGGTTTCAAACCACCTACTAGGGAAACAAGACTGTGTGGAGAGTCTGCAGATAGCTACCTGTAATCCCAGCTCTGCCACTGAGTAGGCAAGTTGCCTAACTCTGTGTTCTTGTTCTTCCTCTATCACCAACTCAAGGTACTTTGTTGGTACTTAAAAGGATTATCTTAACACATCTTCAATGCATTTTCTGTATATTTCTCATGGATAGAAAATAAAAGTAGTAAAAAAGAAAGAAAGAAAATATACTTCAGCAAGGTGAACAAGGTGAACAGGACCACAGACATACATGGAGGCCAGTTCTCCTACCAAACCAGTGCCAGGTCTCACCATCAATCAACTGGATGGCATATAGACAAGCTATGTGGAGGGGCACAGAACATCTAGGCTGAATGGTATGGATATTGTTCCTTTTTTTTTTGTAGGCTAGACTTGGGTGTCTGTAGAGGTAGAGGAACACAGTAACATCTTGTCATCAGAGGCTGGGGAGCATTCTTCAGAGATGCCCGTTCTTTGGAGGACTGAGGTCATGTCCTTAGTTAAGAATTTTAATTGGGAGTCACAAAATACAGGAAGAAAACAAACACATTTTAAACAGGAGAATAAAATTCCCAGTGGTGACTGCAAAAGGGCACAAGGAGACCTATTGAGTGTCACAGAATTGTTCTCTATTAATTGCACTGGTAGTTACACAGATGTACACACTTGTCATAATTCAGCACACTGTACCTTTTTAAAGGGTGAATTCTATTTTATGTAAATTATATGTCAATGGATCTGACTTTTAGAAAACCTTAATGATATGCCTTACCAAATTCAGGATTTATATAATTTTATTTATATAAGTCATGCAGAAAAATCTCTCTGGAAGAATGGATGACCCACTGTGAACAATGGCTCCGAGGGGCAGGAAGATTAGGAGACAAACCAAAAGAAAGATTTGCCCTTCCCTGCCCCTTATTTTGTAACACCTGATTTTGTTTATGTGCATACATTATCTGTTTAGAAAAATAGAGAAGGGTATACAGAGACAAAGAGAAAGAAGGAAATAAAAAGAGAGAAAGGAAGGAAAGAAAGAACAAAGGAAGGAAAGAAGAAAGAAAAGGGAAATGTTTCCAGGTTTTAGTGCCACACACAGCCCATTATAAATCCTAGCTGTGACACCGACTAGCTGTTTAATCTAGAACAAATGTTAAAGTTCTCTGAGCCTGGTTTTTTGTGCATCAATGGGGATACCAACAGTGCCTACCCCCACAGGGTGGCTACGAGATGACATGAGGTCATGCGTTGGAAAGGGTTTTGTTCCCTGCATGGCAACAACATGTTTTCTCTGAATATTAACTACCACTAGTAGGAGCACTACAAATAAAGAAGTACACTTTAAAAAAACACCTTGGAGCTCAACTTTCTTCTTACATATTTAAGAAAAATGGAAGATGTACATAATTATCTTCTGTTGTGTGGTTGCCGATCAGAAGTCTGGCAACAAGAAAAGAGGCGTGTATGGCCGGGCTCGGTGGCTCAGCCTGTAATCCCATGACTTAGGAGGCTGAGGTGAGTGGATTGCCTGAGCCTGCAGGTTCGAGACCCGCCTGGGCAACTTGGCGAGACCTCACCTCTACAATAAATCAAAAAATTAGCCGGGCATGGTAGCGCGCACCTGTAGTTCCAGCTACTCGAAAGGCTGAGGTGGAAGGATCGCAGGAGTCCAGCAGGTCGAGGCTGCGGTGGCTGGGGGCGGCCACTGCACTCCAGTCTGGGTGACAGAGTGAGACTCCAACTCAAAAAAAAAAAAAAAAGAAAAGAAAAGAGGCGTGTACTACTACTAATACAGCCACAGCACACCACATAACTTTAGTGTTCACCACCTTGGAGTAGAGAAATAAACATTACTTCAAGAGTTCTCATTACTCAGCATAAAGAAGGGATGACGGATGGTGGCAATAAGAGGAGAAACAGAACACAAATTGTTGCTCCTAATATCTGTTGTATGTAATGTCCTACTGCAGAGAAGAGAGTACCTAAAAAACAAAAAATCAAACACTCTTCACTCACCCCCCAGAACATTTTAGAAGACTCTGAAATCACCTGGACATTTGAGTCATCAGCTGCATGGAGGTTCCCAAGTTGTACAATGAGAAATTGTCTCTACGTTGATTAACTCACTTTACAAGAAAAGAAATATTCGTCTAATAAGAAATAAGAGGGAAAATATGAAAGATGCCCATGATTATTACCTGAGTTGAAATACACTGAAAGTGAAGTCATTATTATCTAAAGGGTTTACAGTAAAATATATATCCAACTTGCATGCCATTTATCAACATTTGCCCTTCTGGATGAAATAAACTCTTCCAGTGTAGACAAGCCAGTATACAGAATCAGAGAAAAGTTTCATAGGTGGTAGTAAATATGCTTAGATATACTACTATTAAAGATTAATTCCTTTGGCTTAGCCTGGGCTTTCTTTGAAAAGGTGAACTACTTGGGTAAAGTTGATGTAAGTCAGGGTAATAGGTGTTACCATGCTTTAGTGTGATTGAATCTATTTACATTTCCTTCCTAACTCTAATCACATAAGGAAAATAAGAGAAATGAACTATTTATAGGATGAAAAAATAGGAAGGAAGAGTGATTTTAGGACATGTTGCCCTCATATTATGTACATGTCTGCCTTCTGTTCACAGAGAAGTTGGCATAGGGGTGAGGGGTCAGATAGGAAGAGAAAGAGAAAGACAGTAGGTGGAGGACACACACTGACAGAGAAAGAGGTGGATGTGCATTGCTACTCAGCACCAATCAAAAACCATGAGAACGCATCACTTCTCACATGGGGTATACACATGGTAGCAAGAGAGTATATAGATCCAGCACTTATGTTCCAAAAATATTTTTCATTAAATTGGGCCTATTCTTTGACTAAACTCACCTTTCCCCACTAGGGAAAATGAATTTCCTTTCCTAGAACCATGAGAAGATTGTTTATACCATCAGATTGGTAAAATTTAAAGACCTATTATCCTTGGTGGCTCAGCCCGTAATCTCAGCACTCTGGAAAGCCAAGGCGAGTATGTTGCCTGAGCCCGCGGGTTTGAGACCAGATTGGGGAACTGGGCGAGACCTCATCTCTATAATAAATCAAAAATTAGCTGGGCATGGTAGCGTGCGCCTGTAATTCTGGCTACTTGGAAGACTGAGGCGGAAGGATTGCTGGAGCCCAGCAGGTGGACACTGGGGTGGTCATGAGCTTGCCACTGCTCTCCAGCCTGGGTGACAGAGTGAGACGTCGACTCGGAAAAAAAAAAAAAAGACTTATTATCCATCTCCAATGTTAAAGAAGATACATGGAAATCCATATGCTCACATATCTTCCTTGGGAAGAGAATAATTTAGCAGTGACTATTCATATTTACAATGTACACAAATTATGATCTAGGAATCTATCCTGAAGAAATATGAACACAATTGTACAAGATTTTTTTTTTTTTTTGAGTTGGAGTCTCACTCTGTCACCCAGACTGGAGTGCAGTGGCCGCTCCCGGCCACCGCAGCCTCAACCTGCTGGGCTCCGGCGATCCTTCCACCTCAGCCTTCCGAGTAGCTGGAATTACAGGCACGCGCTAAGTACAAGATATTTTTTAAAAGATATCGACTGTAGCATTACATGCAAAACTGGAGACACCTCAATAGTCTATCTGCAGGGGAATGTTTACATCAGCCATGGGAGAGAATGATGAAACTACAGACTACAGACTACTATTAAAAGACATGCAATGTATCTGGTTATACACTCTTGTTCAGAAGAAGGTGTAAAAGTAACTGGGTGTTGCAAAATAATATTTATAGTGTGATCAATATTCGCACTGAAAGATGGATGAGTGAATGGGATGGAAGGATTCCTCTCTCTTCCAGTACCTCCCTGTCATTCTTCCTGCTGGAGTTACAGGCACGCACTACCACGCCCGGCTGATTTTTTGATTTATTGTAGAGATGAGGTCTTGCTGCCCAGGCAGGTCTTGAACCCACAGGCTCAGGCAATCCACTCACCTCGGCCTCCCAAAGGCGCGGGATTACAGGCTGAGCCACCAAGCCCGGCTAAAATGAATTTTCATTATAATTTTCATACACTGTTGGATTAATTGAATGTAGATCAGGAACATACACTGCTTTTGTAATTAAAAAACACAGAATAGTTTTTTAAATTGAAGGACTGGTGTATACCCTCCTTTCAAGCTGAGTGAACGCTGACCTTCAAAGCTGGAAGCTAGTATCTTATCTAGTCTTATCCTGGCTCCACAGGTAAGCTTTGGCTCATTATTTTCCCTCTGTATTTTCAATTCTTCTCCCAATGGAACCAAAAATAAGTACCCTAAAAGCAAATCCTAGGAATATGTACCCAAAACTATTTCGGTTGTAAAGAAAGCCTCACTCCCCCAGGTCAAATAGCCCCCTCAAATTTCTAGATCAGTGGTTCTCAAATCTTAGCTGCATCAGAATCACCTGGAGGGCTTGTTAAAACACAGATGGCTGGGTTCCACCCCCCCCCCAGGGTTTCTGATTTAGTAGTTTGGTGTGGGGACTGAGAATGTGCATTTCTAACACGTTCCCAGGAGATACTGATGCTGGCTGCTCTAGGGGTTGCACTTTGAGAACCGCTGCTCTAGGTGAAAGAAACGATTCGTCAAAGACAAATAATAAGATGGGCCCCAGTGAACGGGATTTGAAAAGGACCAGAACCAGCCCTCCTAGTCCCTAAGCAACTCTTCCCATGGGGTGAATGGTTCTGAAGCCACTCACTCTCCAGCATTAACCAAGGGAGGATGTACTTTGTGAGTCCACAGACTGAGGAGACAAAAAGTCAACACAGAAGACTCCAGGCCCCGGTCCCTATAGAGAAGGAAACCCACCTTCTGAGAAGATGATGTTGTCATTGCACTCATCCGTGTTACAGGAGCACATAAAGAAAGTCTCGCCAGGCTTCTTTTTCTCCTTCATAACGCACTTTGGAGATGCAGCATCTTCCAGAATAAAATCATGGTAGGGGAGCTTGGGGTCATGGCACACAGTCTCTAGTGTTACGTTCTCATCATTCTTTCTCCTAGAGCACAGGGGTTCATTGGGGAGAGTGGGGGAGGAAGAGAAAGAGAGAAAGAAGAATGAGTGATACGGTCTCTGGACAGAAAGGTCATCTAGACTATTTTCTGTCATGAAATGGTTTTAACAGTGGCAACTGGTTCTTGCTCTCCATGGTTGTCCTATAGTCTCCTGAGATTTTCTCCTCGTTTCTGTTTTTCCTTTGCTTATCCTCAACCCACTTATGATTATAAACTTGGAGCTTTCCTTGGGGGCAGTCCTGCTGGACAATCTTACACCTTAAGTCTTAATTAAATCATTAAAGTTGAGGGCATGAGAAGAAAGAATATTCCTAGGGACTCAGAATGTAGATGTTCCCTCTTGAATGTGCTGTAAGGCTCAAATCATTTCCCTAGTTTCTTGGCAAAACCTGTCTGGCTACACTGTTCTCAAAGAGCATGCCTGAGAAGAAGTCACAGTTCCTCTTTTTTTGTTTGCAGGGCCTCTGGGCACAGTGTGTGAGTGACATATTCCATGTCACAGCTGGTTCTGCCCAGAGAAACGGGAAGAAACATCTCAGATCAAGAATTTCAGTTTCCCGAGTTATAGAAAGGAGCAGAAGAGGGGGGGAAAATAAAACCGACTAAAACACATGGGAAAGAATTTCTGGGGATTCTTCATTTATAGTTCAGTCAAGTGGTTTTTTTTCTGTCATAAACTAATTGCTTTTACATTTAGTGCTCCTACATATAACATATTTGGAGACTAATTCAGATCAGGGCGGCTCAGAGAATCACATAACATTTTCCTTGGGCCCTTAGGAGATGCTCAGTTGGTTCTAAGTGTACATTACATTGTAAAATGACATGATTAATGCCCACTATTATAATGGCAAAAGCCAAAAAGAAAACTCTGGTATCCTTAGAAAAGGGCTTCACCTCCCTACCCCCGTCCATCTATGATGACTCTGTCCAGTACCAAGGTGAGTTGGACATTCTTCCTCCCACTGTTGCCCTTCTCAGATGTAAAATACCTGCTGTCCTGAATGGCAATCTCTCTCTCTGGAGTGGGAACCAAGGGAAGGGCTAATTAGGTCCAGCCAGTTTTGCTAATGTGAACTTCCATGAGGATTCTGGGTACAAGGTATGGGCAGACACACAGGCCAACACACACGTGTGTCCACTCACCAATCCCCCCTTACACACACACAAGCTCCCTGCTCACAGCAAGGAAAATGAAAAGCAGGCTAGAAACAAGAAGCAGCCAAGTCGGGTATCACCTGGAAAACGGGTGGGCCATCCTGATAAGCGAAAGAACACCTTTGGCTAGTACCACCTTCTTAGTGCTTAATTGAAGGTCATTAAAGGACAATGTCGACAAGGGGATAGAAAGACTACGAATGTGGGAGAGGACAGCCCACCCAAGAATAGAGACAGTGTTTATAACATTTGTGCAGCCCAGAGTTGGCTCAAGGGAGGCCCATGTGCCTGTTTGTGAAATAGCTGAGGGTACCTGAACTAGAACTCCAGAAGGCACAAGAGGATGGAGTGAGCCTTTGCTGAGTAGGTCCCTACTGTGACAGGAAGCGTAACAACCAGTCATGGAACAAGAGCGCTGCCCTCCTTGCCTCCACAGGTGTGTGTGTGTGTGTGTGTGTGTTTGGTTTCTGGTAATAAAATGAAGGCATGCTAAATCTTCGATGCTACCAGGAAAATGCATGGTCCCTCTTCCTTGTAGCTTTGAGAGGCCAAAGAAGGAACTGTGAACCATGGAATACAGTTTGTCTCTAATTACTAGGCAGATTCTTCAGAGCCTCTTTCCACGTCTTAACTGCTTGCCGAACTAAAATCGCAGTGAGAAAATAACTATAATACTTGGGTCTGGGTAAAGTTCTTAGCTGCTTTGTCCACTTATTCCTGTAACAGTACTTCTGCCAGGCAGAGCTAACTTTTCAAAACATCTCTGCATACAGTTGAACATAGAAAGGATAGATACAGTGAAGTAAACACAGTTGTCCTGCAATATTTGCTCTGAGCCATTGAACTATAGTGGTCACTATCTACTGAAGGAAAAGTCACTACAATAAATTAATTTTGGTGCTAAAGCATTTCTGTCCTTGGAAATTTTAAGCATTTTACATGGGATGGGTATTCAACTGACATTAGTTAAATGCATAAATGAATGAAAAGAACACTAAAACTGATAAAAATATAGAAATCCAGCCGGGCTCGGTGGCTCAGCCTGTAATCCCGTGCCTTTGGGAGGCTGAGGTGATTGCCTGAGCCCGCGGGTTCGAGACCCGCCTGGGCAGCGAGACCTCATCTTTACAATAAATCAAAAAAATCAGCCGGGCGTGGTAGCGCCCGTAATTCCAGCTACTTGGAAGGCTGAGGGGAAGGATCACTGGAGCCCAGCAGGCGAGGCTACGGTGGCCGGGAGCGGCCACTGCACTCCAGTCTGGGCGACAGAGTGAGACTCCAACTCAAAAAAAAAAAAAAAAATATTGAAAGCCACAACCATAGTAGGGCCTTTCTGTTTCACATTTGGCTATTTTTATAATAGCCTCCTGTCTTAGTGTGGGTTTCCTGGAAACAGTCTCTGAGGCTGTGAGAGTCCCATGCGGGAGGCTTTTGGGGATGGACCTGAGGGGCTGAAGGAAGCAGCACTACACAGAGGGAGAAGCTGAACCATAATGCAGGTTGCAACAGAGGCCTCACCAAACACCCCAGAAGCCTTGAAGCTGAGATGGTCCTTCAGAGTTGCCCCAAACTGAGGCACAGTGGCCAGATATGTGTCCTGCTGCATCAACCAGCCATGGGATGCTGGCTACCCATGAAAAGGGTCCTACATGAATGAAGCAGCTCCCATCAGTGGAGGGAAAGTCCCTGAAGAGACTTAGGGGTGATACTTCAGCTGCTGACCACTCCCAGTGAGTGCCTCAGTCCTGAAGGGGGATCGGGGAAGGTACCACAGCATCCAGTACACTTCCCTTTCTCACTGTCAATACCCTCACTCCACAGGAGAAGTTGTCTTTGAAAGACAGGTCAAAATAATGTCACTGTATTTACTCTTTGTAGCCGGGACACAGAGAACACAAGGAGACTCCCTCTCTCTGACAAGCTCACATTTTTGGAGACTAGCAAAGCCTCTCCTCCAGAGAGACTTGATTCACATTCCATCATTTGGGCTTGTATTACCAGTCAGGGAAAAAAAATCTTAATTAAATGAGCCTATTTTTGGTAGCAAAAGTAAGCTCTTGCACCACAGTGGGTATTCAAGTAACCATAGAAGGAAGTGTTGAGGCCACCTAGTCTGGTGTCTCAGTCTTTCTTGCACTCCATCTGACACACAGTCATCCAGCCTCTCTTGAACTTCACTCAATGCTTCCAGAAAAGGAAGCCTGTTCTGCTGTTGGGAAACCATGATTGTGAAAATGTTTAAACTTATGCTGAGCACAAGTCTGTCCCCTTGTAAATCTTATAGAGCCTCCCTCTACTCTTCAGAGTTATGCAGAACAGGCTTATTGTATTTTCTACCTGAGACTCTTCCAGTTTCTCTCAACAGAACCCACGTCCTGTCTTAACTGCACTAACCATGTCTAACTGCCTAGGCTATTCTTCATCTGGCATGCTTTCCAAACCTCTAACCACACTGGTCCCTCTCCTCTGAACATACTCTTTGTCAAAATCCCTTCTTCCAAAGCACTGCCTGGAATCGGACATGCCTTATATCACGGTGGTAGGCACAGCACACTGCTATGACAGGTCTCGGCGGATAATATCCCTTCAGTTCTTAAGAAACCAGTTCATCCCAGATATGGACAGAAATTCACAAGGATTCCATATCTATCGTCATGGCCATCTGTTGGTCTTGAGAGGACTCATGATCATACGACAAATGGTATATATGTAAAAATCCACCCATCCTTAACCACTAAGCTACTGGGCAGTCTTCATATCAGTTGTGGTCATGGAAAAAGAGGCGCTGTCTTCCCTGCCTCCATAGTTTTTTGTGTCAAAGGATTCATTCCCCAAAAAGGGGGGTGAGATATTTTGGCTTGTATTCTTGTTTGTCAACTGGCCAGGAGACATATAAGCTACTTTAAAAAAAAATAGCTGATACATTCAAAACATCAGAATAAGAGTCTGCAAAATACCATATCCCATTAATGAATTTACACATTTTTATAAAATTTGGACTCTTTTAATGACCAAGTTTGTTTGTCTCTTGCTCATGACCCCAATCCTTAAACATGAGTTAATACATGATTCAAGAGTATACACTGTGTATGTATAAAAACTATTTGAGATGTGTTTGGGGTGAGTTGGAGGGAAAAAGAGAGAGAGAAAAACAGAAAGAATCTGAACTAAGAGAAATATATAGTTCTGATCCGAAATAAAGATGTTGCGTGTAGCCCAGTAGTTACAGGTGTGATATAACCAGGGTTTCTGACTAAGGAGGGGAATGTTTTTCTGGTTCTCCAAGTAGCTTCCCCATTTTTGGCAGGTGGTTTTCTTTTCCCACAGCCAACCTTTCATCTCTCTGTCCACAACACGGGCCTGAGATTGTCTTGGTAGAACAGAGTTCCTGGTGTCACTATGGGGCACTGAGAAGGCATCAGTTAAATGACTATTAAGTGGCACATCTCTTTTCTGGATACAAGAAAGGGTTTCCTGATTTATTATATTATTAATCATTTTATAGACTGTCACACACATACACATAAACACACACCTAAATATACACATATGTGTGTATATTTTAAAATGTACAGAAGACCCCAAGAAACTACTCTTAATAATTGAAAGAGGTTGGGCATGGTGACTCAAGCCTATAATCCCAGCACTTTGGGAGGCCTAGGGGAGAGAACTGCCTGAACCCACAAGTTCAAGACCAGCATGAGCAACTTGGCAAGACCTCATCTCCATAATAAATCAAAAAATTAGCTGGGCATGGTGGCACATGCCTGTAGTCACAGCTACCTGGAAGGCTGAGGTGGAAGCATTGCCTGAGCCCAGCAGGTCAATGCTGCAGTGGTTGTGAGTGTGCCACTGCACTCCAGCTTGGGCAACAGAGTGAGACTCCGACTCAAAAAAAAAAAAAATAGAGAGAGAGGTGGTCGAAAGGTAAGGGAAATGAGATGGGTGTCTACACTTACGGGATGGAGATACACTGACTCTATGTACCACGAACATGCATTGCTTATAAAAGGAGGAGAAGAAAGAAAGAACAGCTTCTTAAGAAGCTTCCTCACCATACAGCCACACAGACTTCCTGTGGCTTCTCACAGATGGCTGTGATGCTGCAGTTGCTCATGCAGGATTTCTGGTTGTCACAGGTGGAAAATGTCACATCACAAAATTTACACAATTGTGAAAACTTGACTGCACCGTTGTTGTCAGTGACCATCACGTCATTATTAACTGGGGGAAAAGAAAGAGATATTAAATAATTATCCAACTTCTAGGCAGCCTACCAACACATTCCTGAAGAAGTTATACAATTTCAAATGAACTTGATGTCATGAGAATGAATATGAAGAAAGGCAAAATAATTCCTTTACATCAGATTAGAATTCCTGCATGTCCAAAATTTGTAAACAATCCACTGTAGGGGCAGGGAGTCAATGGTTATCATAACGCCCTCTTGCTACAAAAGCCTTATCATTCAATAAAGAAACCAGACCGGGTGCCATCTGTAATTCCAGCACTTTGGGAGGCCAAGACAGGAGGATCACTTGAGGACAGGAGTTCAAGACCAGCCTGGGCAATATAGCGAGGGCTCGTCTCAACAAAAAATAAATAAAAAATGAAAAAATCAGCCAGACATGGTGGTGTGTGCCTGTAGTCCCAGCTACTCGAGAGGCTGAATAGGGAGAATTGCTTGAGCCTAGGAGTTCAAGGCTGCAGTGAGCCATAATCATGCCACTGCACTCCAGCCCGGGTGACAAAATGAGACTCAGCGTGAGAAACTGTCTCTTAAAAAATTAAATAAATAAATGCATATTAAAAAAAATAAAGAAACCTAGACTGGTCCGCTGCATAACACTAGGTACTGGGCCCACACAGCACCCTTAAGGAAATTAACAGTTTGGTTGGATGAATATGTAAGAAAACAGACCAGGTCAGGGTAGCCCAAAATACAGGGAAGCACAGACGATGTGGGAGCCAGACAGGCACCACCACCCAGACATGCAGGAAGGTCACGACCATGTAGAGTCACGAGGTACAACTCAAAGGAGAAACTGCTGGCGGAGACAACAGGACTTTGTCGCCATTTTCCTGAGCTACTCCTGAAAAGAGCCAAAAGGGCCTTCTTTGCAAGACACTGGTTCTACCAACTTCTCTTCGTCATTTTAAGGGAAATCAGTGGATTACCCAGCACTTACTGAGTGTCTCCTACATATAATCCTCACAAGCACTGACAAGGCACCGGAATTCTGAAGGCTAATAAAAGTCGATTCCATCTCAAGGATCTGCCACCTGCTATCTCTCACCTTAGCCCTTACCACAGTCATCACCAACCCTCTCGCTCCTTTCTGGAAAGAAACCAAGTTCATTCCTTCCTCGGGCCTTTCACTTGCTATTTACCTTTGTCTAGCTTCTTGTCACTTTCTGGTCTCTGACTAAATGTCAGCTATTCATCCTCCAGCAACCCACAAGTGACAACCACAGGACTGTTTTATTGTCTACACAAACTATCTGGACAATGCACTTGCTTAATAATCTATCGGCCAAAATGTGAGCTCCATGAGACTTTATCTGCATTGTTTACATACTGCATCTCCAGTGCTAAGAGAGCCTGTCACATGGGAGGTCTTCAAAAATACTTATTGAACAAATGAGTGAACACATGAACACATCCAGGATGAACATAAGTTCATGCTTGGCCCTTTCTACCAAGTGGGCCAGAATATTGAATTTCTTTACTCAGATAAGGGAAGAGGGTGATCATAAGTGTGTTATTAAGTCCCATTCATTTAATAATATATTGAAGAGAGACTACTCTTTACACACATGCTGCATGTTGAGAACCAGCAGAAAAGGTATAACACAACCCATTTTCCACTGTCTTCCTCAATGAAATTCATTTTCACTGATAAGTTTCATTTTAACGGTGGTAATAATTAAAGACATGAGTTTGGAGAGTCAAGTGAAGTAAGGCAAGGCTACCAGGCATTCAACCAACAAGCATGAATTAACACTTATATGCTAGATGAAGAAGGATTAAGTACTTAGACTGAATGGGGTGCTAGACCATTCGCTGGCTGGGTCTTAAGAAGTTGGAAGGTACAAAGAAACCTGAGCAAAGGCCTCCTTGTGTTCTCCCTGTGTTATGGATGCCCCTTCCTAGAGAGAAACAGTTTCAATGCACTTCCATGGTCACTCTCTGTCCTGTGAATTTTAGGTTTCTGTCATCGAGACTTTGCCCTGCAACTCTCTTTGTAGCTTGGGTACAGCACCTGTTTCCTGGGTCTCTAAAAATATAAACATATATAAATTTAAGATTTGCTTTCTTGTGGTAACAGTAAATATAGAAGAAAAAAATAAACCCATTCATCCCTCTCAAGCCTCAAGTTCACTTCAGGAAGTATATTTTTAGGTAACAAACTATTTTGAAATTCACAGTGTCTCCAGACCGAGAGCTCTATGCTTAGCTAAAAATATAGGCAGAAATGCTCTCTGAACCTTGTGTTAAATTTGGGACAATCACAACAATGAATACACATTTTTTTCTACAGTGATTATATTTGGACCCATCTGTGAAACAAATTAAGCCTTTAGATTTACCTATAAGAGACTGCCAAAGCACACACAGAAAAGCAAGACCACGTTTTGTTTATTTGACAGTATGCTTTGGACAAGCATCTATTTGCTGATTAGGAAGCGTTGCTGTTTTTAAATATGAAGTCAAACCTCCATGAGTTAGAATTCAGCCTTCCAGCATTTTAGAATTTCAGCCTAGGGGTAATCAACTATGAGGCCATGTTGGAATCAATCACCTGGGGAGCTTTAAAAGATAATGAAGGCTGGGTCCCATTCCCAGATATTCTGACTGAAATATTCTAGAGGGGGTGGCCCAGGCGTCAGGCTTTTGGAAAGCTGTCCTGATGATTCTAATGTGCAACCGAGGTTGAGAATCCTGACCAACAATTAGTTGGAAACACACACACACACACACACACACACACACACACACACACACA